AGGTGAGAAATAAAGCATCCCCAATCAGCCGTAGGAAAATGCTGGTGCTACCCACATGTCAATCATACTGAATATCAAGATCTAAACCAGCACTTTCCAAATGCTGTCTGTGATGAGGGCCATGCCTTCCCAATCTCCTATGTGACAAGCACCATCAAATTCAAACCAGTCTGGACAACATACTGAGTTCCAAGCCAGTCTGGGAAAAATAGGACATGTTATCTCAAACGTGAACAAGGGCCTGGGGAAGTTGCTCATCTGATCATGTACTTGCGATACAAACACAAGGAGCTGAGTTCAATCCCCAGAACCCTGTGAAAACATGACAGGATGGCTCACACCTGTCACCCCAACACTGTGGAAGCCAATGTGGGAAAAGAGGATCTAGTCTAAGTGGTGAGTGCATGTCTGAGTAAGAAACTCTGTCTCCAAATCAAGGTCGGTGACTCTGAGGAACCACATCTAAGGCTGACTCCTGGCTCTGAACAAACACTCACACACAGGAGTGTGTACACACACGATCCACTGCTACACATGAATGATGTAATAACCATACACACACACACACACACCACACCACACACACACACACACACCCAAATAAATAAAGGTACAAAAATAACCCCCAGACTCAGGGAACATGACAGAGGAGGAGGGCACGAGGATGATGAGAGACAGAAGTGCCTTCTGGACAGGACAGGACTGTTGCACACTCATGAACTCACAGCGGCGGAGATTGCTTGCACAAATCCTGAACGAGACCAGGACAGCCAACATTCCAGATAGCAGGGAGGGAACACTGATGTTCCACCCGCTACCTGAAGAGCTGACCATAGGCAGTTTGCCTCTAGAGGAAGGAGAGTCAGTTTTCCTCAGGATTGTAGTCCTGGTAGGTTGGTCAAGCCTCAGTGGATGGCTCCACTCCCATGAGTACATGAGCATCATAAGTTATACCCTGTGAAGTATTGTCTTAGATAGGGTTTCTTTAATTTTTATTATTATTAATTTTTTTAATGTACCACTGTATATCCCAGGCTGTCCTAGAGTTGACTCTGTAGACCAGGCTGGCCTAGAACTCACAGCCCAGCCTGCCTCTGCCTCTTGAGTACTAGAATTAAAGGCGTGTAACACCACCACCCAACTCTAGATAGAGTTTATGTTGCCCTGATTAAACAGTATGACCAAAAGCAACTTGGGGAGCAAAGGATTTAGTTCCACTCATCCTTTACAGCCCATCACTGAGGGATGCCAAGGCAAGAACCTGGAAGCAGAAACTGAGGCAGAAACCATGTAGAAATGATGCTTCCTGGCTTGCTGCACAGACACACACACACACACACACACACACACACACGGTGCACAGACATATGTGCAGGAAAATAACCATACACTTAAAATAATTTTTTTTAAAAAAAAATTTAAGTAAATTATCCAGGCATGGTGTCATACGCCTTTAATCCCAGCACTTGGGAGGCAGAGGCCAGAGGATTTCAATGAGTTTGAGGCCAGCCTGGTCTACAGAGTGAGTTCCAGGACAGACAAAGATACACAGAGAAACTCTGTTTTGAAAGAAAAACATTTAAGTATATTAACCAGTCTCTGAAAGACAAATACTGTATATTTTCTCTCGTTTCTTGTTCCTAGACATTTATATACTTACATAAAATCATATAGATGTGACAGAAAAGTAAAGGAAAACTCTCTGTGACAGGAGGGCAAATAGGAGTGCATGAGGAAAATGAGGCCATGAAGGACTGCACTTAGTGTAAAAACAGACATCTTGATATTCAAAATATGGGGCCGCCAATATGGCTCAGAAGATAAAGGTGATTGCCACCAAGTCTGATTACTTGAGTTCAGTCTCTGGGATCCACATATTGGAGGAGAGTATTTACACCCACTAAATGGTCTAATGACATCCACATACCCATCCACACATAAAATAAACAAACACATATCAAATCAAATCAAATAATGAATAAATAAAATGGGCTGGGAGTGGTAGCATCTTCTGTTAATCCCAGCACTCAGTGGCAGAGTAAAGTTGATCTGTGTGAATTCAAGGCCAGTATAGTCTACCATAGTGAATTCTAACACAGTCAGAGTTCCATCAGGAGTCCCTGTCTGAGAGAAAAGAAGAGTCTAGACAGGAAGTCTGTCCAGGTTAGAATGAATGGAACTGATGAGTTGATGGTTCTTGATCACAACCATGGACCTTCACACACAACTACTCAACTTCACATACGAAGCACACACATACACATGCAAGCTACATACATAACACACACACACACACACACACACACACACACACACACACACACACATGAAAATGGAAAAGTGGAGAATAAGGAGACAATTTAGGTCCTGTTGGACATCTGGAAATGTCCCCCGAAGACCATTTGACCCATGTCTTGCTCATTTCTGACGTGGCTGATAAAAAAGGGAATCGTCCATACTAGGCTTCCACTTTATTCCTTCTGGAGCATGACAACTGCAGATTTCTCTTGTCACGTCTCAACCACTTTTTACCACTCTGGTTGAGGAGAAAGAAGACAAGAGTGTCTGCTCTCACCTGTGGATTGATTGAGAGTCACCTTGGAGCTGCTGACGCCATCTCTTTCCACCCACACAGAACACTCATATGAAGAGGCAGGATGCAGTCCATCCACAGTGACTCGGGTGTCTGCTGTGTTCCGGGGCTCATTCTGGCCACCATCTTCAGTGCACTGGACCCAGTAGGTGAGGTCCTGGGAGGAGGAGGAGCAGTTCGTCTCAGGGACGTCCCAAGTCAGGCTGATGGAGCTGTTGTCCTGAGCCTCCACCCTCAGGTTTCTCACTGGGTTTGGAGCTGAGAAATAAACAAAAAAGATACAGGTCAGCATCAGGACAGAGCAAAGGAGGCAGCCAGTGGGCACTCTGCTTTCTGCGTTTTCTAGTTGCTCTCAATATTTTGTTGGGGAGATGAACTAGGTCTGGTCTTCAGACAGGGTTTCTGTCTCAGCCAGGGTCTCTACTTCTGTGGTAAAACACCATGATTCAGAGCAACTTGGGGTGGAAAGGTTTAGTTCATCTTGCAGGTTACAGTCCGTCATGAAGGGTAGTCAGGGCAGGAACTCCAGGAGGCAGTAACTGAAGCAGAGGCCATGGAGATATGCTGCTGACTAGCTTGCTCCCCATAAATACTCAGCTTGCTTTCATATACACCCCAAGACCACCTGTGTGGGGAAAGGTACCACCCACTGTGGGCAGAACACTCCCACATCAATCAGTCATCAAGAAAAAGCCTCACAGGACAATGCAATGAAGGCATTTTCTCCGTTAAACTTCCCTCTTTCCAGGTGACGTTCTCTTATGTCAAGTTGACAAAACTAGCCAGTACAGTCTCACAAGGTCCCAGTTGCCTTCATACTCTCTATGTAGCCAAGGATAACCTTCACCTTCAGATCCTCCTATCTATCTCTATCTCCTAAGTGCTAGCATCACACCTGGGTGTCACTGTGCTGGCCTAGACCAGTAGTTCTTGAAGTTTGCATATAGGTAACCAGAACTGCTTGAGCACACAGATTCTCTTTCTGTAGGTGAGAAATAAAGCATCCCCAATCAGCCGTAGGGAAATGCTGGTGCTACCCACATGTCAATCATACTAATATCAAGATCTGGACCAGCACTTTCCAAATGCTGTCTGTGATGAGGGCCATGCCTTCCCAATCTCCTATGTGACAAGCACCATCAAATCAAACCAGTGTGGACAACATATTGAGTTCCAAGCCACTCTGGGAAACATAAGACATGCTGTCTCAGAAATGAACAAGGGCCTGGGGAAGTTGCTCATCTGATCAAGTACTTGCCATACAATCATGAGGACCTGAGTTCTATCCCAGAACCCTGTGAAAACATGACAGAATAGCTCACACCTGTCACCCCAACACTGTGGAAGCCACTGTGGGAAGAGAGGATCTGGTCCAAGTGGTGAGTGCATGTCTGAGTAGGAGACTCTGTCTCAAAATCAAGGTCGGTGTCTCTGAGGAACCACATCTAAGGCTGACTCCTGGCTCTGAACAAACACTCACACACAGGAGTGTGCACACACATGATCCACTGTTACACATGAATGATGTAAAAACCCTACACACACACACACACACACACACACACACACACAAATAAATAATTAAAGGTACAAAATATAACCCCAAAACTCAGGGAACATGACAGAGGAGGAGGGCAGGAGGATGATGAGAGGCAGAGGTGCCTTCTGGACAGGACAGGACATTTGCACACTAATGAACTAACAGCGGCAGAGATTGCTTGCACAAATCCTGAACGAGACCAGGAAAGCCAACATTCCAGACAGCAGGGAGGGAACACAGATGTTCCACCCGCTACCTGAAGAGCTAACCATAGGCAGTTTGCCTCTAGAGGAAGGAGAGTCAGTTTTCCTCAGGGTGGTGGTCCTGGTAGGTTGGTCAAGCCTCAGTGGATGGCTCCACTCCCGTGAGTACATGAGCATCATAAGTTATACCCTGTGGAGTATTGTCTTAGATAGGGTTTCTTTAATTTTTATCATTATTAATTTTTTAATGCACCACTGTATAGACCAGGCTGTCCTAGCGTTGGCTCTGTAGACCAGGCTGACCTAGAATTCAGAGCTCAGCCAGCCTCTGCATCTTGAGTACTAGGATTCAAGGCGTGTGCCACCACCATCCAACTCTAGATAGAGTTTATGTTGCTGTGATTAAACAGTATGACCAAAAGCAATTTGGGGAGCAAAGGGTTTAGTTCCACTCATCCTTTACAGCCCATCACGAAGGGATGCCAAGGCAAGAACCTGGAAGCAGAAACTGAGGAAGAAACCATGGAGAAATGATGCTTGCTGGCGTGCTGCACAGACAGAAAGACACACACACACACACACACACACACACACACACACACACAAACAAACACACGGTGCACAAACATATGTACAGGAAAATAACCATACACTTAAAATAATTTTTTAAAAAATTTTAAGTAAATTATCCAGGCATGGTGCCACACGCCTTTAATCCCAGCACTTGGGAGGCAGAGCCTGGAGGATCTCAATGAGTTTGAGGCTAGCCTGGTCTACAGAGTGAGTTCCAGGACAGACAAAGATACACAGAGAAACTCTGTCTTGAAAGAAAACAATTTAAGTATATTAACCAGTCTCTGAAAGACAAATACTGTATGTTTTCTCTTGTTTCTTGTTCCTAGACATTTATATACTTACATAAAATCATATAGATGTGAC